CGCGGAGGAAGCCAGTGGCGTCAAAGATGGGCGCCGTGTTGGTCTTGCTGCTGTCATTGTTCTAGATGACGATACATACATACACCTCAAAGAAAGAGGAGATAGAGACACATACCAAGTAGAACGCGTAGCGCTTCAACATTGAAATGAAGAAGCGCAAGAACGACTGCCGGACTTGGTCTTGCACAAACCCACCTCCGAGCGCCGGTGTCGGTAGCATGAGACTGTCGACACTTGACGACGACGACAACGACCGATCGCGCTCCAGCATTGACGCCGACGAGCTCGTATGCGAGAGAAGCTTGAAGGAGCTGAAGTGCAGGCTGCTGGAGAGAGACGACGACGCTGCGAGGGACGCAGCCGACGCAGCAGAGAGCGTGCGCTTGTCGCCAAGGCTACCCCTGCGGCTGGACACGACGTCGCTTGGCATGGGCAGCGTCATGCCCGACGACGCGAAATCGGTGATCGGCTCGAGGCATTCGTCGCCGCCAAACGCCTACACGAACAATATACGACCTTTTCGAGACAGCACGACCGTACCCAGTCGGCCTTGGCAATGTCAGGCGCAAATGGATCAAACACATTGGCGCAGTTTTGGAGTTTGACTTTGAGTTTCGTCGCGGCGCGCTCGGGCATCTTGGGCAGCACGGTTTCCTAGCCCAAGGCGTCGACTCATCCTATTCCTTGGAGCAAGCGACGTACAATGCCGTCTTCGTTGCGCGGTGGAATGACGCTACTCGTGATTTGAAGCGTCCAAACACGATCATGAACGCAAGCAAGTACTACCGATTATGGTCCAGGTCGATGAAAAAGACATCGGTCGAGCGACTTGCAGTCGCGAGGTACTTGGAATGCACGCCGACAAGGAACGGCACGGGTGCCTAGAAGTACCTTGAACATTCCATGTGTGCACGGATAGTCGTACGTCAATCACGTCCAAGAGCGACGACGGAAGCACGGGGATATACGCGCCTTGCCACGCCAGCGGAAAGAGCAGCGTCAAGAGGGTCTCCGCGATCGGTGTCAGTAGCGCGAGATGCTTGGAGCACAGCGCCACCTACGCATGGTGTCAACCAGGATTGGTTTCGAAATGTATCAACGTATCAACTTTTTGTTCGAGCAAGAGACACGACACGACGGTCAAGACGTTGTTCATGTCGAGCACTTGAAAGAGCGACCGAAGGGAGAACTACATGCGTTGTGTCCAGACACGGAGCGAGTTGCGGACGTAACAGTACGTACATCGGCCAGTGGCAGTTGGTTCTTCGGCGGCCGGGCAACGTAGATCGTGCGCTCGGGCAGCGTAAGCTGCACTTGGATGCGGCCCTACGCGCGAATTCGTGCCAGAAGGATACGAAAGAGGATTCAAACCCGCGGAGGCATGGGCACTTCGCACACAAAGTTGGCAATGTAGCGCTCGATCGGCATGGGCGCCGTCGAGAGCGACAGCCGGTAGATCTGCACATACGATGAGTAGTACGATATTTAATGACGCAACGCGTCAACCTGCTGGAGGAAAAGACGGTAGCCGGAGAAGAACGGATGGTGCGAGATCAGTAGAAGGCACTTGGGGGAGTAGACGGACGTGGTCGACGCCGACCCGGCCGAGAGATCTTGGGCCCACTTTGGAATGATGGGCGCCTTGGTCTTCTCGTTGCCTGGCGGCGGTGCAAACAGCGTGAGCTACATCAATAAGAATACCTTGAGGTTGGCTTATGCGAAAGACATAATACCACTTCGAGAGGCGAGAGCTCTTCCACAAACTTGAGCGCACATGCATAGAGCTACCGTCGCCGCATGAGAGAGCGTGCAAAGCACAGACGGAAACTGAACCTTGGCACCGCTCACGTTGGTCAAGACAAAGGTAAAAAACGTGGGGGTGATGTGGGTTTGACTGAGCGCCAGACCTTCTGGAAACGCAAACTAGAAATTCGGGGTCGCATCTGGTGCGCCTGGGAGAGGAACGCACCTGCGAAATATGGCTCGGCAACGGCGCGTCGGCATGGGCGTCGGGGAAGCTGTCGAGGATCGTCGGGACAAACTGGACATCGCTCGGGCCCGCATTCTCTCCTATACGTAATACATAGTAAATACAGAGGCTTTGGAGAGATAGGCTACCAAGCGGCTTGCCGAGGACGGCTTGGCCGCGCCCGACGACGACAAAGTAGTTGACGAAGCGCTTGGAGACTTCGACGATCGAGCCGCTGGTCGTAGTGCGCTTCTCGGACTTGTCGGAGCTTGGCCCTTCAAACGTCTTGCCGGCTTCCGTCGTAAAGGTGCGCGTCTCGTACTTGAGGCGCACATAGTCGTCACGGCTCATGGCATTGGCCTGGAGCGCCCGGCGCGTCGCTGCCTTCGCGTCCGGTCGCAGATGCTTCTCGTAGACCGCGTTGACTGCGCGGTTCCCAAGCATCTTTTTGACTTCGTCGTCGGTCCAGTTGTCCATGTGCACGGACTTGACGCGCGAGATGTTGACACCGAGCTGCCGATGGGCGCCGGCGCACTGGAGACACACGAACGCGCCAAAGGTGATCGCTGCCCACGTCGCATCGGAGGCCGTCGTCAAGGCAACGCCGCAGTCGGCGCAGGCCATGTTCTCGGGCGATCCTCGCACGAGGTCCGCGACCCGCTGCCCGTTCTTGCTCATACGACCGACTGCTCGACGTGTTGGAAACCACCGCCCGTTTCGACTATCGTCGACTGGGGTGATGTTCGACTAACTAAACTGTTGGTGCGAGACCATCACGTCGTCTGGCAAGCGGTTGCTGCAAGCTGCGTCTTTGAGGCTCCTACTTGGCGGCGCCGGTGGGCGCGCGACGACAGCGATCTTTCAAATGATTACGTTCGTTGTCTCCGTGGGGTGTAGTCGTTGTTAGTCATTTAGTCGAAACTTGGTTTCGGATAGTTCCGAAACCAAGTCCGAAGCGACGTCGGT